CATGCTTATACATGTGTACACATACACACAGATTTTATGAAACGGTAAGACAGTGCTGTAGGCCCAAGGCACTGTCATTCTCATTATCCAGCATACGAAAATGAAAGCGACAAGAGGTGTGCTCAGATAGCTGATCTGTCCTATCCTACATGGATGCTTCCTTTGCAATACTATTGATTTTAAGGTTGTTGTTGACTTGAGGCACCTTCATGTTGTCTGCATTACTTAAGTAATGATTTATCATTTGATGTGACTTGCTGTTCTTTTGTAGTCTCCCTGGTTGATTACACTGCATGGCATAATTAGGTATTCATGAGCATATATCAGAGCCAAGCTTTTAGCAAAGCTCCTTATCTGTGCAACTGATTTCTGTACGGTATTTCTGGAGTCAATCTGTTGCTACTCTTAAAATTAAATGAAAGAGGCTGCAATATCCAACTGTTAAACTTTGTTTTATAGATTATTCTGTAAAATGCCTGAAGCCCTGGACCACAGTTTTTCAAAGAAGCATTACAATGTGATGTTGATTTTGGTCTTGATGACCCTACCCTGCAGTCAGCCCCTTGGCCTGCTCTTTGTGATTTCACAGGCAAGGAGAAGTAGACACTTTTAGCCCAGAATGAATGTGTATATGGGTTCTGTTCCACTATCTCCAACAGGAATTACAAAGCACTTTCACATATATTAACAGCTAACATTTATTGGGCATTAGGAATGTGCCAGGCACTGTGCTAAACACTTGCTATGCATTATCTCAAAGTCTTCAAACCAGACCTGTAAGTACTGTTCATTTTACAGAAGCTGAAACTGATGCTTGGAAGAGTTAAGAAACCTGCCCGAGTCCACAAAGCCACTAAGGGGTGAGCCATGATTCAAATTCAGGTTTGTCTGTCTTTAGAAGCCAAACTCTTTTTTTTTTTAAAGATTTTATTTATTTATTTGAGAGAGAATGAGATAGAGAGAGAGAGAGCATGAGAGGGGGGAGGGTCAGAGGGAGAAGCAGACTCCCTGCTGAGCAAGGAGCCCGATGCGGGACTCGATCCTGGGACTCCAGGATCATGACCTGAGCCGAAGGCAGTCGCTTAACCAACTGAGCCACCCAGGCGCCCTAGAAGCCAAACTCTTAACCAGTGGATTATATTTCATCTGTTCCTCTAAATACATTTTTTTGAGGCTTGGTGATACCAATTGATTTACCTGACTATCAGCAAATGAGTGGGAACACTAAGACTTGAACCCAAGCCATCAATGCTAAATCAGTGCTCCTTCCCCACTACCCCATAATTTAATACCCCTAACATCGCCCTGGGCAGCAGTATTCACGGGCAGACAAGCACACAGGAGGGAAAAAGAGAGAAAAAGCTACTTGAGGGTCATAGGTACAGCCTGAAGCTGGCTCTCTCACACTCTCTCTCCCACTTGAACATTTAAAGTCAAAAGGAAAACAGAGAAAGAATGCATAGTTAGATATGGCAGGGAGAAAAAAGTGAAACTAAATATTACTTTAGCCTAATAAAAGGCAGCTGTATAATCTACATGCCAAGAGACAGAGAAACAGTTGAAAAGACAGGAAAGAGGTAGTATATGGATTAAACAAGAACATGTGTTTAAATATTTAAAGACCATCACAATCTTGTTATGGAAAAGCCAATAATAAAAATGGAAATAAAGTTAATATATCTTTCCTTTAATGAGACCAGAATAAGGAAACTGCATAAAAATAAATTCTTAGGGGTGCTTGGGTGGCTCAGTCATTAAGCGTCTGCCTTTGGCTCAGGTCATGATCCCAGGGTCCTGGGATCGAGCCCCGCATTGAGCCCCGCATTGGGCTCCCTGCTCGGCGGGAAGCCTGCTTCTCCCTCTCCCACTCCCCCGCTTGTGTTCCTGCTCTTGCTGTTTCGTTCTCTGTCAAATAAATAAATAAAATCTCAAATTAAATAAATAAATAAATAAATAAATAAATAAATTCTTAGTATTGGAAGCTCTAGAATGCAATCCCTCAATGAGAGAAGAAATTCCATGAACTCGTCCACCATGGTTATAAAAGCGCACATTTACGTAAGACAGATTTTAAAATCCGCTCACGTGCACAGGTCTAGAAAATAGATCAATAACTTGAATCAATTGCTTTTAAACAGTTAATAAAAATCCTTCGCTAAAAATGATTATGAGTATCAAAGCCCAATGAAGTCTCGCATGAACACTAAAAATTATTAACGTCCAAAAAATAGGTTTTTGAAAGCAAATTAAGTAAAGCAATTTATCCCAATCTATTCTTCCTCAACAAGTTATTATTTCAGCTCTAACTGTGGTCATGTATTTTTGTTCTTGGATCTTTGCTTCCTTTTATGGCAACATACTCAAGAATTTAAATAATTACTAGACTTTACAGAGCAGTAAATTCAATAGAATGTCTAAAAAAAAAAACACCCTAATTTATTTTTCAACAAATATGTGTAAATGGCAGTTGAAAGTAAGGTTATTTTTATTTAAACACTGTCACAGACCAGAGTCCCAATCTGAGAGGCAGTTTAAATGGAACACTACTTCAAAAGCAAAATTCATTATGATAAATGTGCCAAGTGAAATTAGAAATCTACTAATGCTAATTGGATACATTCTGAATGTATTAAATTTCCAAAGATATTTTTATGAACCCTTTGCAATTTCCTATTAACACCCATGCATGGCTGCACTTTGGATGTGCCCACAATTTGACACAATATAGGTTATTACGCTTAATAAATTTCAATCTTAGGGTGATTGCATAGTCTAAAGAAATGAGAAAAGCCTACAGTGTGAAAACACTACTTCTGAAAGGAAGGGAAAATGATATATGAAAAATCTTTAAGAGTACTAATAGAGGAAACATGGATTTGTTTTTTTCAAATATAACAATTATAGAGCTCAATGGTCACCATTAAAACCTAATATACAAAAAATTGGAAACTGTCAGCCTATGGAAAATATTAAAAAAAGTCATAAATGGTTTTACAAAAAAGTTCAAGGAGGGTTATAAATCAATTAATGATATTTCCATAGAGATAAGTGAGCAAGTCTAGGGCATTTGGGCAACAACCCCCCCCAACCCCCAAGCTGGTAAGATCAATGGTACTGAATACAACCTGCCCCAGCTCACACTCGATCTCCTGGCACCTCTGTCAGAAGCTGAACACAGGGCTTCATAGGGTCCAACAAGCAAGAACACCAATGTTCTTTTTTTTTTTCTTTTCAAGAAGATTTTATTTATTTGAGAGCGAGAGAAAGAAAGAGAGAGTACAAGCAGGGGTGGGGTAGAGGGGCAGAGGGAGAGGGACGAGAAGGAAGCAGACTCCCTGCTGAGTGTGGAGCCCAAAGCAGGGCAGGGCTCAAATCCCATGACCCTGAGATCATGACCTGAGCTGAAACCAAGAGTCGGACGCTTAACTGACTGAGCCACCCAGGCGCCCCATAAACGCCAATATTCTTACAAATCAAACGGACAGCAGAACAAAAAGAAAAACCCCACAGGTTTTGCATATATGGATATAAACACACAGATTGCTGATAGAAAAGGAAAAGAAGGCCTCTACTTCCCTGCCTTAATGCTACCGATGGCTACAAAATGTATGCGAGTCTCTAACATCACTGAGACTTCCATGGTTTACGACAACCTACATAGTATCACACAATGAGGACACTGTTCTTACTCTAATGTCACTGCCGTAGGGACCTCTGATATGATAAACAAGGATACAGTGTTCATTACGACTATGAAAATAAAATGTTATGACATTCTTTACAAGAGAAGAAAGCAACTTCATAGCTTCATTCCTGGAATATCCTGGTGAAGAGTGGTGTCCGACCACAAAGCAGGGTGGGGTTATGAATGTTTGGGTATAAATGTATACACTGGACTGGCCTTCCCAGCTTCCAAGCACCCCTTCCCCATCTCTTCTCCCTCCCCATTCAGGGGGGTTTATGAGGACATCTGCTTCACTACTGAGCTCTTCTTCCCATTTCACACAAATACCTTCAGCCTGTTTAGCCTGTGTCTGATGCATGTTTAGTCTTCACAGAGGAGATACTGAGGGCCAAAGATAACATACAGTGCCTTCTGCTCCACCTCTCACAAAATACTTGTTGGGTAAGGAGGTAGGTAACAAAGCCAAATTCCAATTTTCTTAATGCAGTGAGGACTTTCCCTATTGCACAAGTCACAATATGTTTCCAATGCACAACATCTATTTTTGCACATCTGCCCAATAGCAGCTCAATTAAAAACAGGCCCATCAGACTGAACTGACACAGTTTCCTTAACTGCTCAGTTCCTGTCACGCTGCAGATAGCGGAAAAGCACTTAACAGCAGCCACGAGGCAATTTTCCAGTAAGACTTGTTAATCTTTATACAGTCATCCTCGTGCAGCCATCAAAGCGAACTTAATGACAAATCAGTTAAAATAAATTACTCTTAGGAACTTGTAAGGATCGGATAAAAAGCAAACCATATGTGACAGCTCTTTGGTCCTCCCCGTGACGGCATATAATTGTCACCATCTGTGCTGTTTATTCTATTTTGCCCAGCCTATGTGCCCTCCAGATCCACTCTCTGCCCTTCTCTGTCCTGTGCCGGCCCCAGGAGGCTGACCTCTGTGGACCTCGGGACTGTATCTGCATCAGTTTTGACCTTGCTCTCTGGCTTCCAGCTGGGCTCAGCCAATGGGAAGGACAGAAGAGCTCCTCCGTGCTCGGGTCGCCAGGTGGCCCGGCCCCTCCTCCAGCCCCAGCTCTCCACAGCACCAGAGCCACTGCACCCCACTTATCCTTCAGGCCCAGGTGTGTTCATAGCTTCCAGCTGTCGCTAACCGCCCCCCCCCCCCCGGGTACTTCACCAGCCCTTGCCCGCATCGCTAGAAACAATCCCGGAACTACACACTCTTCGGTCTAAACACCTGTTGCTGGTCAAGACCCTGGCTGACATCTTGTCAGCAGCCAGGGGCTCCAAGCTGGGATCACTTACATGGACTGTGTGGACCAGATCGGCCACCAGACACTGCTTCAGCTTCTCGTCGCTGCTGGTCCCATGAAGCACCAGATCAGGCATGTACGTGGGGCAATAACCTGCCAGAAGTGAGCGGCCAAAGTTTCTTACATTTGGGTTGCTGATGCTCTGAGACCTAAAACAATATCAGTCCATTAGAATACACAATTAAAGATGTACTCCCTTCTTGCATTACAACTGGAACAAAAACCCTAGGAACACAGGTAAGAAAAATCGATTCAGGGTGGTCCATTTCACCAGTCCTCCAGGAAGTGGATCATCGAAGTGGGAAAAGGAAGGGGGTTGGAAGAGAAAAAAAGACTTATTTTTGGATGGAAGGGTAGAAAAAGCAGTATTCTGATGGCCAGTTATGAGTTTGTTCTTGAACCTCATATCAAACGTCTACCAGGTGGTCTGCATCAAGAGAGTGAAGAAAGAGAAAGTCTACTGGGGAGGGGGGGGAATCTTGCCAAAAACCTGGCTTTAGGAACTCGACACATCTGCACAGGGTGGTGCCCACGACAGTGCAGAAGAACAGAAGAAACCTCTAATTACCGCTTTCAGTCATCACAGACCAAATAATCCACCTGATGGAGTGTTGAGGAAGAGGTGTTGTTTCCCAACCACTTCCTGCTGCTCTGACCTGCAGGACAGAAGCCACATGGTGAGGGTAATCCACCGCCTCCCATGCAAGGCATCTGCTGCCAGCCATCTAACGTCCACTCCAAGGACAGAAAATTAAAATCCCTGCTCCCCACCACCACCGCCTCTACGGTATCCTTTAGCTTCCCAAAATGTCACAAGAGTTGCAAAGACAACAAGTTGCCTCCTCACTCAGAGAGCTCAGATGCACTAGGGCCACTGATCAGCCCGGGAGAAAGCGCGGCTTGAAGCTGTGTGCATCGGGTTGGTAACACTGCTCATACTCAGAGGAAGAAAAGGCACTGTGTGTGGAACGGCTGCCAGTAGCTCATGTGCCCACGCGGGTGACGGCGGGAAAACAGCATTCAAACCCAGTTCCCTCGGCTTCCCAACCTGCCAGTGTTACCTTGGCAGAGGCAGCTCCACCTCCAAGGACCCTTCAGTCCAGTCACCGCTGTGCTCCAGATTCAGCGAGGCTGAAGCACACGCTTCCTCGTCACTGTCTCCAAGAGCGCTATCTGAGCTTTCGTTTCTGGGAATGTCTCCTTCCATCCTGAAGTTGGCCTTCCTGTTGGCATCCCCACAGGGGACATCTGCAGTGCCCGAGAAGCCAGAGTCCTGCTGTGCACACCTGCTTGGAAAAGGCTGTAGCAAAGGGCCTTCTGCATCCTTCAAAGGCAAACGTCTTGTTTGCTCCGGCATCCTCATTCCAGGTCCTGCCTCATTGTCGTCAGGTGCCAGTGAGTCAGCAGACGGGTCGGGCTGCCCAGCAGCATCTGCTACCACCTCGGTTTTCATGCCTCTGTCCTCAGCAAAATCCCTCTCAAATGCACCTTCATCCCTCTCACAAGATGGACTCTGAGGACAGTGGACATTCTTCTGGAAACCGGGTGTGAAGGAGCACCTAGAAACCTGCGGGTCCTGAGGCATGTCAGCGGCCGTCCCGGACTCAGCCGAGGGATGGCAGGCTAACTCTGGATATTGTCTACAGGCCGTTAGCCGCTTCTCCATTTTTTTTGTGCGGCTTTCAAAGTCAGACTCTGGAGATACGGAACTTCCAATTTGGAAAGTGACCTTCTCTAAGGGGGGTTTCTCCCAGGAATGTCTGTCAGGGCAAGGCCAGGCTGCTGACCGGTCTGCGAGTTTCGTAGGCATCTCCCCTTTCAAGTCCTCACTGACCGTCTGCTGGCTGATCTTCACTCCAGCCCCCAGCCCCTCACAGCTGGAGAGTCTTGAAGAGCCATCTCGTGGTGCCTCGTTTTCACTTTCTTCCTCCCCACAAAATGTGCCCTGAGGTTTCCAAGAGTTGTCCAAGGCTGGCTCTTGGAATCCCATGCTGCAGGCCTGAGAACTCTGCTCTGGCCTTTTGCGTCCTTCTTTGTCAGGTTTGGAACACAGGTCTCTAATGTCAGTGCCCTCTGGGGACACACCCAGCCCCTCAGGCCTGGGGCTCCTTCCCTCGGCCATAGTAGGTGGCAGGATAGGGGGAAGGAGAGCAGGCTCACTTCTCACCGTGACCACCACATACTCAGACTCCTCTACCTCTCCCCTCTCCAAGGCTGTGGTGATGTTGCTCCCATTTAACACTTGGTCACCTTCACCGTGACTCCCACTCCAGGTCAGCTGGTTCTCTTGCAGCTCAGAGCAACGGAGAAAGTAGGTCAGGACGTAAAGTATGCGTTGGACCAAATCCTTCTGCTTCCCCACCACGACGGTGCGAGTCAGCCTCACTGGAGAGCCAATGGCTCCGTAAAGATCACCTAGAGAGCAAAAGAGACACAAAGACAAAGTCGTCTGGGGCACGACATGTCATGGATATGTCAGCTTTTATGAGAGAAGGACAGACGACTTACACTCTCAAATTAGAGCTGCTTCTTCACACACCTAACTGAGGCAAAAAGGTAATTCCTAGTAATGCCCATGTTTTAGTTTTGCCTCTCTAATGGGAAGTGTGCCTGGGAAGGCTGAGGCCCACCACTCTCGGGGCACAGGTGCACCTGGGGTACACAGCCCTCCCTGTGCTTGTCAGGTCTTCCCAGGCCGCTCACTAGGCTGGCCAGCTCCCACTAAAGCCAGCAGCCTCAATATGGGGCCAAATCAAATACTGTATCTTAGAAATTAGAATGATGAGACTTTTTTTTCCCCCCTAGAAGAATCCCAGGACAATAGGCCTTGGGGCAAAATCCAAGTTCAGGGATCTCTGAACAAAAGTGCAGTGAATCAATTCAAAATACTTAATGACATGGCCTGCTCAGAATTCCCTCAATACACACACACACCAACTAGAATCAATCTGATTAACAAGAAGAAATCACTTAGTCATGAAAAATGAATCTATTTCCTATTACTTCACATGAAAATTCTACTGGATGAAAGTATGTCCCATAAGTTCTATCCTGACAGGCTGATTAAAAACTACCTAATGAACCACAAAAATTTAGTTTAAAGGTGGAAGAAGGCCAAGTAAGGGCAAATGTGTCAATGAGCCCAGCAGTGTAAGCTTTTCACGGAAAGTATTTAAGTGCCTATTGAAATTATTGCATTTTATAATCTGCTTATTACATTTGGTTAAGCTGTACATTTGATACTTTGATAATAACACTGACAATTATAACAAAAAGCCACCATTTACTGACTGTGTAGGCACAATGCTACGTGTTTGTGTCTCTGTATAACCAACCCTGAATTAGAAACCATTATGGAAATAATCAGACGGCTGGAATAAATCAAAACTTGAAAAGATACCAAATAAAGGAGAGGAGGTACACGGGTACAGTTATAAACAAGAACTCGGGAAGTTAGAACTCATCTGAGGAATGCATCTGGAGAGGAGGGAATGCATTTTTATAAAGGCATATACTAGACAAAACTAATTAAATCGATAGATTAAGACAGGAAAAGGTGATGGGAACCATCAGGAAGTACTCCCTAGTGTAAGGCTACTGCTCCTGATGATATACAAAGGGCAGAACACAGCTGACTTTAAAGGATCCTCGCTATAAAAAAAGACTACAGACTAACAGAGCTTTATCTCTGAGGCTTTTACAACCGACAAGTCAAGAATCCAAAAGAATAGCTCAGGACTATCGTCTGATGCTAGGACGAGTACTTCTGTTTGAGAAAACTTTCCTGACTGCTTATTGCTGCAAGGTGTCATAGTCATCTTGGGACTCCATGGGGCATGCTTGTTCAATCAGTCTCAATGCTAATAAAGAAGATCACCACTACGTATCTGAAACCTGGTACAAAAAAACCACAGAGGAAAGAAAGGCCACTCAGAATGACAATATTATTTTTCAGCAATGCAGTTAACATCTGCTTTGTACATTTTAATACTCATAAATGGAAAAAAAGAAAACAAGGAATGCTATTAAAAATATAATTTATAATAATTTAAACTATATAAAGTAATGACAGCAATGTGTGTGGAAACCGTGCCTTTATTTTAGGGTCAACCTTCATAAAATAATGCATCATTAAAATAATAGACCTATAATACTAAAGATTTACAGGATCCTGAACTGGAAGACAATTATTTGAGTCCCTGGGCTGACAAAGCTACTAATTTTAAAGTAAATTCCTTGGTTTTCATGAGTATAATTTTATAAAATGAAGAAGTTGCACAACAGCGAGAACAGACAACACTACTGAACTTAGAAATGGTTAAGATGGCAAATGTTATCATCTGGGCTTTTTTAAAAACCACAATTTAAAATATAAATTTAAGGGATGCCTGGATGGCTCAGTTGGTTAAGCATCTGCCTTTGGCTCAGGTCATGATCCTGGAGTCCTGGGATCTGGGATCAAGTCCCTGCATTGGGCTCCTTGCTCTGTGGGGAGCCTGCTTCTTCCTCTGCCTGCCCTGTGCGTTCTCTCTCTCTTTCACAAATAAATAAAATCTTTAAGAAATAACTTTTAAAGGGCGCCTGGGTGGCTCAGTTGGTTAAGTGACTGCCTTCGGCTCAGGTCATGATCCTGGAGTCCCGGGATCGAGTCCCACATCAGGCTCCCTGCTCGGCAGGGAGTCTGCTTCTCCCTCTGACCCTCCCCCCCTCATGCTCTCTCTCTCTCATTCTCTCTCTCTCTCAAATAAATAAATAAAACCTTTAAAAAAAAAAAAAGAAATAACTTTTAAAAAGAGAGAAAATGAGAGGAAGACGGAGGGGAAAAAAGGGGTAAAAAGAGTATCTGCAGGTGAAAGAGAGAGGCTGAAGGCAGAGTGTGCAGGGAAGTAGGAAGGGCGCTGGGTGTGGGGAGAGGAGATTCCTGAAGGGAAGTAGACAAAAGGGCACCAGCAGGAAGGAGTGAGATGGAGCGAGAAGGAGCGAGAAGGAGCGAAGAGCAGGCGGAGGAAGAGACAGGGAAGAAGAGACATAGCCAGCCCAGAGAACAGAGAGAGGAGTCCAGAAGGAGGAGGGCAAGATAGAGAAAAGGGTTAGAAGGAGAAAGAGATGAGGTGGGCGGTGGAGAGGTACTAACAGCAGAGAACCTGAGAGAAGCAAAAAGAGGTGGACGAGGTAAGCAAAGCAGTGAGGGGGACACCTACAGAGGGGGACGGAGAGGGGGATGAGAAAAAGTATCGAGGGGACGGTGAAAAGATAGAAACTAGAAAGCTGAGAAACTGAGAATTTAGGAGCACTGTGAAGAGCGGGTGGTAAACGGAGAGGGTGGGAGAGGTGGGGAATATGGAGGCAGAAGAGAGACAGAGGGAGAAACTGAGACAAAATTTTTTAAGGGCCACTTACTCCTAGATGACCTTCTAATAAATGTGTATATGCTATGAAGTTCCCAGTGTTTCCCCAATCCCACACATGGTAATTTATTGTATCTTTATTATTATTTGGTTCAAATTATCTTCTAATTTCTCTTGTGAAATCTTCTTTGGCTTTTGGGTTTTATTTAAATGGGTTGTTTAATTTCTGAGCAGGTAGGAATTTTCTCCCTATCATTTTTTTTTTTTTTTTTTATCGATTTGTAGTCTAATTCCCCTGCATTCTGAAAAATACAATTTAAACTTTAGGAGAAAAGAAAATGAAGATATTTCAGACATTTTTACTTGTATTAATTTAAACCTACGATCCCAAATGTTTTATGAGGAGAAAAGCTGCTTTTCATTTCCACAAATTCTTGAGGTCATTAGTGTCATAAAAGAGACCCACACGGAACTCCTTCAATCAGTGGTGAAAGAAAGTGGCTTTCAAACTACGCCTACCCATCCCGAGAGAGAAATGGATTTATACTGCAGCCTCACTCACCCCCTGAAAGAAACATTTTACGAAACAGTGTATGTGTCACTGATAGTTTCTACTACACTGACCCTTCTTTTTTTTTTTTTTTTAAAGATTTTATTTATTTATTTGACAGAGACAGAGATAGCGAGAGCAGGAACAAGCAGCGGGAGTGGGAGAGGGAGAAGCAGGCTCCCCGCCGAGCAGGGAGCCCGATGCGGGGCTCGATCCCAGGACCCCGGGATCATGACCTGAGCCGAAGGCAGACCTTAACCGACTGAACCACCCAAGCGTCCCTCCACCTTGATTTTTTTTTTTTTTTAAGATTTTATTTATTTATTTGACAGAGAGAGCAAGAGAGCACAAGCAGGGGGAACAGTAGAGGGAGAGGGAGAAGCAGGCTCCCCGCCAAGCAGGGAGCCCCATGCGGGGCTCCATCCCAGGACCCTGGGATCATGACCTGAGCCAAAGGCAGACGCTTAACGACTGAGCCACCCAGGCACCCTATACTGACCCTTCTAAATGCTTTTTTGAACCACTAAATTGCTCCACAACCCACCAATGGCTAGTGATCCGTTTAGAGAGCCCATGTGTCGAGTGAGGCAGAGGTGAGGAGTAAGCCAGGGAGCGGGTGGAAGGGCTCAAGGGCTAGCTGCTTCCAGCTTCTCTCCTCCCTTCCCGGGAGTGCCAGGGAGCCAGGCAGACGTGGGCACAGCACTGGTACCAGTCCTGGCAAGCGCTCAGGTAAGCCTTTGAAATAATTCAAGATAAAGCCCTTTCTATTACTTAGGAACCTGGATTAAGATTACATCCACATCGTCGTGTATTCCCAGGAATTCGTATTTACTGCGACTTGGTAAATATTTAATGAAAATAATAATAATTGGAAGTGGCTCCCCTGTGAAATTACTGAAGCCGCTTGATTTTCTGTAATAATGGAAACTCAACCGTCATTTACATTTGGCTTTACGAAGCTATCACATGAGTCTGTGCTAGGGTCTCAGCCCCTCTCACACTGCTCTGTCAACAGCCAGACCCCAGCTGGATTGTCTGGGGGCGGGGAGGATTGGAGACTTTCAATAATACGTGACCTACTGGGATGCCTGGGTGGCTCAGGTGGTTAAGCGTTCTACTCTTGATTTCAGCTCGTGGGGCTTGGAGCTCAGTGGGGAGTCTGCTTGGGATTCTCTCTCTCCCTCTGCCCCTCCCTCTCCATTCATGAGTGAGTGTGCTCATGCTCTGTTTAATAAATAAATAAATAAAATCTTTAAAAAAAATAATACATGATCTACTACATGACTGTGAGCCCATGGGAAGGGACTTGGCCTTGTTATACTTAACACCAGGAATTAATGGCTCTCAATTAGTTAAATTTCAAATGAGAAGCATGTCTAATTATAAATACATTTATCTAATTAAGGGCAAACTGCTTAATTAGCATTGTTTTTAAATGGGCGACCAGGCAGCATGAAACACCATGTTTCCTTAATATCAAGCCCCCTTCCCTTTGCCACTTAATGATACTACATTTTTTAAAGACTGTTGTTCCATAACAAGAACAATGCTCCGTTTCTTCCCGAAACTATAACCCAGAGTGAGGCACGCTCTGAGTTCTTTTCTGAGCTCAGTACTGACTGGTTGTGTTAAATCTGTTCCTAACATCCATAAATTCTTTAATCAATTCATTTAACATGTACCCATTATCCCCCTATCTGTGAGACATGTTTTCTCTTTCTTACATACAGGACACAAGGGCAAGACATCTTTATTATCTATAATATGAGGACAATAGTAATAGGTCTGGAATGAGAATCTAATTAGTTAATACACGTAAAAAGCATTAAAAACAATGCCTTGCTCACAGTGTCGGCTTTCATTATTGTTATTATAACACGCTGTTTTCTGAGATTAGAGTGCGCCTCCCTAGTCTGTACTTCTGAAAGTGTCCTTTTAACATTTCTGCAAGTATGCTTTCCTTGAAAATCCCCTCCATCCCCTCACTCTGTCTCCTGGTGCCCCTCTAATGTCAGTATTTTCACCAGCAGCGTAAATGACAAAAGTACTCTATGCAGAACTAATTCCCACAGCAACCATGAACTACTATCATCCCATTTTACAGACGAAGAAACTGAGGCACAGAGAGGTTAAGGCACTTGCCCATGGAGACTGGATTTGATCTATGCAGTCGGGCTCTGGCTCCCATGCTCTTCCCCCTTCATACCATACTGTCTCTCTCTTGCATCCTTCTACACACTCCTATCAAAGGAGTAAGCAGGATGTTTTGTGATCGTCTGAATACAAATCTGCCACCTCCGTATCCCTGGCATCTAGCACAGGATCTGGATCAGAGTGAGTAGCAAGTATAACTTTGTCACTCTGTTTGATGAGGGAGAGGTCCCAGAGTAAACCTGTTCTGCACATGAACCCAAATAGGCCACTTTGATGTCACAAGTCCCAAATTCCATAACCAACTACGCCAAAGCATTAGGTGATCCTATGCCGTGCCTAAGTACGAAGCTGTAAGGAAACAGACACCACCAACTAATTGCAAAGACAAGGTTCCTAACTTAATCTAAAATTATAAAGGTAGTAAAATTATAGTGCACTACTTTCTTTTTTCTCCTATTTTTTTCCTATCGAGTCCATCCTAGAGAACAGTGGTTCTCAGCCAGGAGTGTCTTGCTGCCCAAGAACAATGTCTGGAGACATTTTTGACTGTCACAACTCTGAAGGGGGGTTTTCACTGGGAGCTGGTGAACAGAGGCCGGTGATGCTGCTAAACATCCTACAATGCACAAGACAGTCCCCCCCACCCCCCCACCCTGCCCCCAAATAATTATCTGGTCCAAACATCAATGATGCTGAGCTTAAGAAACCCTGCTGTGGGCTGAGCTGCCACTGGTCAACTACTGCTTCAGCAGAGCCGAACAAAGCTGCCGGCAGCGGGAAGGAGAGGAACGCAGAGACTCACAACTAGGATCTGTGGGCCAATCTCCTACTCTCTGTCCGCCCCACGACAACTCCTGAATTGCCGGGATGGAGAGCCAATATCCACAAAAACTCGAGCATTTTCTCCATTCCATCCCATAGAGACTGTGAATAGCCGAATTAGGTACTGACCCAGCTGTGCCCAGAGAGGATTATATGGATGTGTTTTGGCCAGTGTGTTCACGGACTGAGAGGTGCGTTTCTCTGAGGCTTTAATGGGAGGGTGATCAACAGGCATGACGGTCGGGACCCAGGCCAGGTGGTAGGTTAACACTGCAGTCAGTAAGGCAGCAAAGAACCTTGGAGAAATGGGAGACAAGACGAGATGAGTCCATGCAGGAAGCAGCATGTCATGTGCAGCACATCCACGGGCCACGGAAGCCGCAGCCAAGGCTCCGGAGAGCTGACGCTTACTGGTTTTTGCTGATCTGTTCTATCAGAAGTGTAAACTCCTTGAGGAAGCGCTGGCAGAGCTGGGTTTTTTCCAAAGTGCTGGACATCATGGTGAGCCATACAGGTTCGGCTATCCTTGGAACAGAATATAAGTTCCAGATCGTTCCTCTACAGAAAAGAGAAGGGATACACAAAACTGTCACAGATATCATTTCGGATATTCTCTGCATGAAGGAATAAAGAAGGAAACAATAACCTGAATCTATGCAGCCCTTAGGGATTCAAGCAGTATATAAGTCAGGGATCAGCCAACGATGATCCACAAGCCAAATCTGACCACCATTTGTCTTGTAAATAACATTTTGTTGGAATGCAGCCATGCTCATCTGTCTAAACATTATCTGTCGCTGCTTTTGTGTAATGGCAAAGTTGAGGAGCTATGACAGAGGCCCTTTACAGAAAAGGTATACTAACCCTTGAAATAAAATATTCATTTTTAAAGCAATTTATTTTCACAATGCCTAGTACCGAACTTTACGGCTATTTTTTTTAAGATTTTTATTATTTATGTGTCAGAGAAAGTGAGCGAGCACAAGCAGGGGGAGCGTGAGGCAGAGGGGGAAGCAGGCTCCCTGGGAGCCCAATGCGGGGCTCGATCCCAGGACCCTGGGATCATGACCTGAGCCGAAGGCAGATGCTTAACCGACTGAGCCACCCAGGCGTCCTGACAGCTGTTTTTATAGTAAAGAAATAAAGGAAGAAAGTATATGCTCTATCAAAAATGTGACCAAAGGCGGGTGCCTGGGTGGCTCAGCTGGTTAAGCGTCTGCCTTCAGCTCAGATCAATGATCCCGGAGTCCCAGGATCAAGTCCCACGTCGGGCTCCCTGCTCGGCGGGGGAGCCTGCTTCTCCTTCTGACCCTTACCCCTCTCATGCTCTTTCTCTCTCAAATAAAAGAAAATCTTAAAAAAAAAAAAAGTGACCAAAGGCAACTCAACACTCCCAATTTCCAGTTGGTGCTTTAGTTCTCTAAACCAAAGCACTCTACTCATTTCAGATGGAAAAACTACATTAAGTGCCTCTTCTTCACTATAATATATACTGAGTTTTTATATGGACCAACAGAATCAAATTCTTAGAACTATAAGCTATTAGCAAAACTGACTAATACAGCTCTATCACTTTATAGATTCAGAAACAGGCCTAGAGAAATTAAGTTACTTGTATACAACACTGAACGACAAGGTCAGGATGAGACTTCAGGTCTCCCAACACCTGGTACCAAGGGCTCTATTGCAAGCTCATGACTCAAGTGTTTTTCCAAAGAATACACTAACTTAGCTTAGGATCTCCACTGGAAAGTACATCCACTCCAAATAAAGAGAGCTGAGACATATTCTGACATGATTTCTAGCCATGCGCCTAGAAGAATTGAGACGCACTAGAATTCCACCTTGGCCAAAAAACATTTGCCTAGTTAGGTAGCAATGACAAGCGACAGTCACATGGAACTGGGATTTATTTACAAAAACTAAGGTCTGCAATTGCCAACACTTTACTTTGTCACCATTTCTGGAGGGGAAGATTGCTGAAATAAGAATAAGACTTGTCTATGAACAAGTGAGGCTCTCTGGTTCTGTACTTTCAGATTCCTGACCTCTGAAAAATTAATACTATCATTAAACTAGCACAACTTCACACTATTTCTCAACTATATGACTTAGGTCTTAACGTTAACCACCAGATAATGACTGATGTGTTACCTGAGTACTTTATACATAACCCAGGGTTCAAAACTACTGGGGATTTTGCTCCAAGAAGCATTATGTAATTCACATTAAACATCAAAAAAATGTTCTAAAATTCTAAGAACTGTAAAAAATATTTTTATCCTTCAGCTACAGAATAACAGTTTAACTCATTAGCTCATGACCCATTTGGAATGTGATTCCACTACCCATTGAAACTGGCTCAAACAAATGGTGTGAGAACCCCAGCTCAGCATGGTGAAGGAGAACCCCATCCACTACACTACACCTTCTTACCCAGATATTAGGAGCAAGGACTATAGGACTCCAGAGTACAAAGATCATGAATGAAAAACTGACAGTGAAGATACACTAGGGTGATCATATAATTTGGTGTCCAGACCAGGACACTTACAAGAGGACATTGGGTATAAACAAGGATTGTCCTGGCAGACTGGAAGGTCTGTATATGACATATACACTCTCTCCAGCTACGCTGTGGATAAACAGCCCTGAACCCATGTTTCCACATCTGTAAAATGGGGCTAGTTAACAGTGCTTACTCCTAAAGCTTTTGTGAGGATGACATGAAATAATGAACAGGCTTGTAATGAACACCTAAACATTAGTTTTCTCCATTCATCTTGTTAAAAGCAATCTAAGACTGGATGACAGGCAGCAGTGTGGATTCCACGGTGCTGAGTGACCTAAACTTTTTGCTCCGGTTGGTCTTGATTTCCATCTTGAGGGAAGGAGTTGCTGAAGTGGGTAATAACTGCAGGCCCCCCAATTCTTCCAAGTGATGGTTTCTATGATCCCTAGATCCACGGCTGCCGCTGCTACTGCCATTTATCAATTTACCCTCTGGGATTTGCCAGACACTGTCAATTTACCTGAATTCTCCCAGAGCTTCCATCAGACGGCTGACATAGAACTGGACACGGAGACTTGATTCTGCTATCTTCCTGCAGGAGATCATGGCCTTCATGGAAGAGAAAACAAACCAAATTACTCTCTGGAAGAAATTCCTTTATAACTGTCTACTACTGGGCTTTTATTAATAAAATAGTATTATAACCAAAACATGCAATGTGGTAATGACTTAAGGCATCAGGAAGCAGTGATCTCCTTTCCTAAAATACTCTAGTATCTGGTATCTGATATCAACCTGCCTAAGGGTCTATTACTGTTGTAGACGATTTAACTTCTCTAAAAAAGTAATCTGATACATAAACGATGAGATGCTACCACCTTAAAGCCCCATAATCACTTCTCTATTTAACACTAGAACTACATTCTTATTACCTTTTCAATGGCACTCTTCAGCCTGTTCATGTGAGATTCAAACAGGGGAAAATGAGAAAAAAAGAAGTCCTGGAAATTCCTTTGTGCTTCTTCTTTCTCACACAGAGAGAAGATGATGCTTATGGCAATTTTCTTCCTCCGAACTATGGCTGGATTAGAACTGCACGTTTCTTCAGCCAGGCTGAATGTCTCATCTGTCGACCTAAAGGAAAAATAAGTTGGAAAAGTTGCCATGCATCAAAGAATCACACTGAGGATAAACGGTAATGCCAGGGGATGACATTCAGAAAGCAAACCCAGACCACTCAGAGTCTCAACCAAGTTTGTCTGCTTCCAATTCTTTCTCTTCTCTAATTCTCTGTCATGAAAAATGAAAACATCAACTTACCACATGGTATTTTCCAACATGAAAAGAAACTTAAATAAAACCTAAAAGTAACTTTAAATACCCTCTTAGTCTTTTTCCCTTGGATTATTTTACATCAGACTGGTGGTATTTAGGGAGGGGGGAGACACATCTGGTCACTCAAAACACAGGCCCTTTGTTTTGGTTGATAGATACCAATAGATAGGAACTTTAGAAGGGAAATGATCCTGTGGTATTCTGTTTAACCAGTGCATCATGTTTGGAAATTTACTGGTGGTTGAGGCTTACTTTCCCAAGGCTATTAAAACCATTAGATGAAGTAACTCCAGTAAATGCTCAGATTAAGCCATGCAATTGATTAAGCTCTCTGGGAAATCCCCCAAGCAGAAAGACATATCTCCCGTCTGGGTAGTCAAATTCTCAAAAAAAAAAAAAAAACCCTTAAGATTCTTTTGAGAGACTCTGCTTCTATGATAAGAGAGAATCATGAAGCCAGTAAATTATCAATATGTTCTCAATCTGTCTTAAGGGGTAAGACACAAATATGGCCTAACCCTGTCTCTTACTAAACTATTCTGAAAAACCAGCATTGACTACCACATAGCTACCAACAGCAAAACTGAAAATAATTTTTTTTTGCACAAAGATACCAAAAGCAAAGTACATAATACCTGCACATGAAAGCTCCTTGCCTGGCACACAGGAGGTATGCAATTAACTTTCTCTTTCTCACCAACTTTCATCATTTAGTCTGGTATCTCTGCCGAATACGGGAGGGTACTGCTTCCTCTGTTTTCTTTACCATAAATTACCACAAAACAATTACTTACGCTTGGTAGGGTTCAAGGCAGTTGGCCTTTATACTCCTGATCTTAAACTTACTTGGTGCTCTACTACTCACAGCCTATAATGTTCCTGTGATTTCAAACATCTCCATATCTTTGAAAACATGCATACATCAAACGTTTTAGGGTCAGGAAAGCCATTTTATTTTGAAGGAAAGGAGACAGACATCTTGTTCTAAGCTCAGAAAGGATACGCCATTGTTTCTCTCAACTTTAAGCGAGATCCCCGAGATGTAGATGTGGTTGATCAATCAGTAATAGGCTCTCACTAACAGACAAGCCACTGACAGGACATGATCTCCAGGTGCTGTTGTAAAGGCTGTGCATTCTAATAAACCATCAACTGTATTTTCCGAAAAATTCCTAGATCCTAATCATCTGCTCATCAGAAAAAAAATCTTGAGCCTCTCTTAAGACTTTTACTTAGTTTCATACAATGAAATTTCATATGGTAAATACTCTTCTTTTCCAAAGTACCTGTACTAGAACTTTGTTTTTTGCACCAGTTTATTTCTATTTTATATAGGAAGCTCTGAGCCAACACTTTCTTGTAGCCCTTTTGTTGTCTGGCATCTCCTATTTCTCTTCTTTTTCAAAAGTAAAATGACTGTTTCAGTCCATTCATCTTCAGCCAGTGTGGTCCTTAATAAAGAAACTGTAATAAACACTTAACCCTATGCAGGTTTCTGCATCATCTTCATCTCTCTTATAAACAATAGCCAACTCTGTCTTAACGTAGCAGAGAGCGCCACCTACTGCATTTCTGAAAAATTTCCATGGCTACAATAGCGTGGAGAGCTCTTACTCGCTTTGCTGTTCTCTCTCTACTGAATTCCAAAGCAACTGAGCTTCATTCTGTAGTCTTGGATTAACCACACAAACTGGAATAAATCAGTTCACACAGTACTGTGATTATATTTTTAAATTATTCCACAATGAAAGAACGTTTCAGAATGTTTTAAAACATTTGAGTATGCACCCAGTACTACAACATCTCCTCACCCTCAAGTCACCATATAGGGGTACACAGGCCTTTTTGCAAATGTGGAAACTGAGGCAGAGTGCTTCATCAACTTGCTTTAGGAACAGAAAGTTTCTTTCTTTTTTTTTTTTTAAAGATTTTATTTATTTGATAGAGACACAGCGAGAGAGGGAATACAAGCAGGGGGAGTGGGAGAGGGAGAAGCAGGCTTCCTGCTGAGCAGGGAGCCCGATGCGGGACTCGATCCCAGAACCCTGGGATCATGACCTGAGCCGAAGGCAGACGCTTAACGACTGAGCCACCCAGGCGCCCTGGAACAGAAAGTTTCTTAGTGACAATGTTGGAGCTAGAACCCAGGGCTTCTGTCTTCTAAGCTAGGCTCATTTCCTGGATGTTGGAAAGGAGCAGGGACTCTGCCCCATGTCTGATCCAACTGCTGGTCTTCATGCCATCAGGTGCATCCTGCCAGGTGGAGCACTGAGAGGAAATAGCTGGGAGCAATCACATCAGCTGACAGGACTTCGAGGCAGGGAAAGACCCCTGCAACGCACTTAAGTTTTCTCCTTACAAAAAAGTCAAATAGAATTTTGTTGACACTTATAAGCATTCACATACATTATTTTTGCCTCAAGATCATAAATAAAGCAATAACTATGATTTTTTAAGTACATCTCAAGAATCTATAATTGATGTCAGGACTGCTTAGTCTAATTGTTTTTGTCAGCTTTGAACTTAGTCTGAATCTATGTATTATATTAGGACATAGGAAATTGCCATTTTTGTAGGTCAGAGAACAAACCCGCCGCAACTTTATATGGCTGTTCAATTTTAATATCTTGGTCCTTTAGGGTTTCCTTCGCCTCACTAAGAGATGAAATCTCTGCAGTTGCTCTTCTATTACAGGTGATACTTCCCCACCAGCTGGTAAATGCCCAGGCCTGACTCCCCATCCAGCAACCAAAATTTACCACCCGGCACAGCAAGGGGCCTGGAGACAGGAGTATCCAATGTGGAACCAACTGTTAAGGATTGTGAAATCATCCTTTTTACCTTAACTCCCTTAGGGAGTTTTTGATTACTGTGAATTTCCTCTCAAAGCCAGAGGCAATCATATTTTTGGTACCCACACAATTCTCCTGTCTGGCATAAAAAATTAATTTTCCTACCTACATACCTGCCAAAAGTAAGAGATCAACTGCAACATCTTTAAATGAAGGGATCTTCACAGGAATAGTGATCAATTCAAAATGTCAGTCGCACTTACGCTGTGTGTGTGCCAGCTTCATGGGCATGAGACCCCACTCACACAGAGCCCTGTTCCCAGATGGGCCCCAGGCTTGATTTAATGTTTTGCAGTTGCCATCTTGAATTCCTAGTAATTTTATCTTCCAGCCTGTGTTGTGGAAGTGAAGTCTGATCGGACAGTGAAGCATGTGAGTGAGCAGTGAGGACACCAGGCTGCAGAGTGCACAGTGGGCTCAGGCCTAAGGGCATGCAACCCAGACTCTGAGCAACTGGCTAGGCAGTCAGGCACACAGCCACACGTTTGAAAGTCCAGGGTGCCAGGAGGCCCCAAGGCGGCAAGGCTGGGACCTCAGCCCAGACTGGTGGCTGGGATCGCAGCAGCAGAAGCAGCAGTGACCACAGCCACAGGAGAGAGGAAGGACCTGGGTAGTGCCGTGACCCATGGTGCGAGGCCAGCTTACCCATCCATCACTGGAACCTGTCCCTATAGAGTGTGCATAAATATTTAACCCTTTGACCCATGTCCCAAGACAATAAATTATCACAAAAAGCCTACAGTGGACATTGCAATAGAGCATATCCAGGAATAATCAGAATTCTTCAGTTTATCATCTACAGTTTTGAAAACTATTGCAACATTGCAAAGTAAATATTGACAGGTATAGAAACAAGTTAAATGTAAAGATTGTTGCACTGGACAGTAAAAAACCCTTACTATTTTCACATGAAGCTTTGGATAAACAAATTATTAAGGAAGTCCCCTCTAAAATTAATTTTCCTTGTAATCGAAGATGCAATGATAGAATGCAAAAACAGGCATTTTGAATTATATACAACTCATGAAGACACTTTCAGTTGCTTGTAAGACCTCCACGTGTTACAGAAAATGTCAGAGGAGACATTAAAATAACTTTGTATAAATTAACATTTAAAATTAAATTCAGTCTTACACAAAATGGATTTGTGTGAAGAATTAAATCTTTTTAGCAAAACTGTTCCATAAGAATCATCAGATCTAGATGTACTGAAATTTATATTTTGAAAGTCTATCAGAAACTTAATCCAATGTTTTCATAACCCATAAAGTTCCAGTAACGATTACATCAGCAGAAAGATCTTTCTCAAAAAATTGTCAAAAATTACTTGCCATCTGGCATTTGCCAAGAGTGATTAATGCTGCTTTCAATTATATCAACTGAAAGCAAAGTTGCTAAAAAGTATAAATTTTGATAACCTAACAAATGAAGATAGAAAAGAGAGCCAGAAAAGTCTTATGATGAATCAAGATATAGCATTATTATTTATTATATTATGTAAAATTATGATACCAAAATATTATTTCTTGCAATTTATAAGTTTATGTTTTATTCATATTTCACTATTATTCCTATTACATTTTGTTAAGTAAAATATTTTTTAAAGGAAAAGCTTTACATTTTAGTACCTTTAATAGCACTTTTCCCCACTTTCTGAACAAAGGGGCTCTGCATTTTCATTTTTGAACCAAAGATACTTATTTTAGGTGTAAGTTTAGTAGAGATTCATTAGTTGCCAAAGCCAGATCTCAATTCAAATTAGAGTTCTGAAGAATTTTCAGAGGAGTGGGATGAAGAATGCTATTCAACTCGGGATTTAAACCTGAAGGGATAGGGGAGCCTGGGTGGCTCAGTCGTTAAGCGTCTGCCTTCGGCTCAGGTCATGATCCCAGGATCCTGGGATAGAGCCCCACATCGGGCTCCCTGCTCGGCAAGGAGCCTGCTTCTCCCTCTCCCTTTGCCTGCTGCTCTGCCTACTTGTGCTCTCTCTCTCTCTGTCAAATAAATAAATAAAAATCTTTAAAAACAAAAAACCTGAAGGGATGGAAAAACATTTTTAGCAAAGAGATGTCTAAAGGGGTAGGCTTCTACGACCCATCATTCTCTTCAATCACAGAAGCTGTTGTAAGGACAATGAGAATGGTGGGATGCCTTCTCCTGACAACTGCAGTTAACGGCAATCATAATGATGTCTGGTACTAGTACAATGATCACAGTGCAGATGAGGAAGCAACACTCTGAATGCAGATTAATTCGCTATCACGTACACCTAGTGAGTGGCAGAGCTAGGACCTGTCTTCACACCAAATTCCAAGCTCTTAACCATTCCACTCAAAGCCCACCAACCACAGAGCAGTTCCTCGGTGAGTGAAGCAGCTCTATTTTTTTCTCTTGGTCAAGCTTGCTAGGACTGTGAGAACAAGAGAAGAGAGGCAAGCAGCCTGACATGTGCTACACATGTGCCCTGACCCTCATCTCTCAGCTTGTCCTTTAAGCACCACCTCTCCCATGAAGGGCTCTCCAATTCCCCACCTGATCACCAGCAAGTGTTCTCTCCCTCCTCTGAGTCCCAAAGCACTTGATGCCCCGCCCATGGCATTTATAGTTTAACCTCTTTATGCCGTTATTTATGTGTATATGGTCTTCCCCACTAGTCAATAAACTATACTAATGGTCCACAGATGCAGGTGTATATCTGAATCGTCTTTACACCCTCATGGACCCCTACACACGGTGATTACTAGCTGACCCACTAAATCAAACAATTGACACATGAATCTTTATAGGTACAACCTATGTTAATTCCCTTTTAAGGTTTTGGGTTATAGGGAAAAGGAGGTGGAAGCTACTGATGTAACATCGTATTAAGCCAAAACGTGTATTTTGCAAAACAACTAAACTTCAGATCTAAAATTCAACTGCAATGAAGGCAGAACATACCTCGATGCCATCTTTATAATCAGATTCATGACCATTTCATTTAAGAATTTAAGTTTTATGAAAAGAGTATGTCACAATCCTTGAGTTTCTACGTCTTCAAAGACCACGGGGGTGTCACAGTAAGCCAAGGAAGAGATTTACTCCGCCCTTCTAACTCATGAGAGCTACATCTGGAAGGGAGCCAATTCAAAGAGAGAGCATGCTCATTTTAAACTAACACCAAAATCTTGGGCGTCTGGGTGGCTCAGTCGGTTAAGCGACTGCCTTCGGCTCAGGTCATGATCCTGGAGTCCCGGGATCGAGTCCCACATCGGGCTCCCTGCTCGGTGGTGAGTCTGCTTCTCCCTCTCCCGCTCCTCCCTCTTGTGCTCTCTCTCTCTCACTCTCTCTCTCAAATAAAAATCTTAAAAATAAATTAATTCACATCAAAATCTTGCTCATACATGGCACAATGACCCAGATGTTTCCCAGTGTCTTCCAAAGTGAGAATCATACCCCTAGACCAACGAGCCTCCCAGTGTCTTCCAAACCAGACTGGTTTTCAGCTTTTATATTTATTGTTTTTTATAAAAATTCTAACTTACCCATTTTCAGCCTAAGCTGAAGCTAATCCAGCAGTTTAAGGTTTTGTTTTTTGTTTTCCACTGACAACAGGTGAGCACTGCCAGTTCGTTCAAGCGGTCTACAACCAGCACCTTTCTCATCAAAAGCAAACTTGCAACTCACCTCCTTGGAATGATGCCATTTTCCAAACTTGTTGTCTGACTTCGAAGCCAACGGCGCTGGTAACTGCTGGAAGAGGATGTAGAGGAGCTTGGAGATGGAAAAGGTGTAATCAAAAGGCTGCTTAGTGAGGCTGTGAGGAAGAAAAGTTGAAATTTGAAAGCTGAGGTAAATGAATCCTCACGTAGCCACACAAAAACATTCGTGCCAAGTGACCTAAATTTTCAGGTTCTACCAGACGTAGCCAGCAGGGGGAGACTATAACTTCTCTCTTATTAAGATTTCTGTACCGCAAAGAAAACATCCTTTAAAAAGGAAAATAAATTTTAAAAATAGGGATTACAGACATACCAAATGCATCAATTATCAGGCCCTACTTTACAAAGGCAGTGTAATTATCACTCACTTAACCAGAATGCAGATTTCTGATAAAAATGGTCCACATAGCGTAACTGTTTATATTGTTACCTGAGAAGTAATGTCATACACAATGTTTATTTACACATATTTTCTCCTCTTAACTACTACTTCACTCCTATTCCTAGTTTGAAGCGAAGTCTACGCAAGTAAGTAGTTCCTCCACAGAATATCCTCTCTCCTATCCCCTATCTCCAAGTACACAATACTTACCCTCCTTCCCTCCAGCAACCAGCTCCCCCATTAACCCATCACCACTCCCTTGGCTGTGAAAAAGCAACCTCTAGTCTTAAATGTATTTTCTGCTTGGATTACTTATTTGCCTCAGGGCCTCTCTCTGCTTCTTTCTGCTATATAGTATTAGATGCCTCCGCTTGGGCTCTCAGCGTGAGCTGACCTGCCAGCCCAGACTTCTCTAACAGGCAGGGAGGGATTGGTCCCTTTCAGGGTAGGCAAAGGGATTCTTACAAATCAGAGCTGCTTGATGGATGTCTACTAGTTTGGAAGAATGAAAGGAGACAGACTTTTTTCCTTCTACTTTCCTCAGGCTAAGGAATTAGATACTGAAATGTCAGTCCAGTGGAAAATGAAATGGGGTCCTACTGAAAGCTGGGCACTGTTTTCAGAAGCAAATCACAGGACAAAGGAAATTGATTTCGGCACCCATAGTGTACTATGTTCATGGATATCCCTTGATAATAAGGCATTTCCCCATATGAAGTTTTACATTTTAATTTACACTTTTATAGGCAGATGTAAATAGCCTGATTTCTTAAATACTACAAGAGTTACTTGGCTATTAGTCAATACCCAATAAGCAAATACTGGAGTGTGTACAGTGTGCCAGGTGTTGTGCCAGGCAACTGGGATGCAGCGGAGGACAAGACAGACACGTATTTGCTGGCATGGAGCTTCAAGTCTACATGAATAGCAGTGAACTTGCCAGGCTAAAAAATTAGATGCAAAATGGCTCAAGGTTCTTTCCACAACAGAGGTATATTGAGATGCTTTTCTTCTAATCTAGTCAATATCCATAACAAATTTGTTTGCTATCTTTGTATCCCTTGTATCCAGGACAGCTCCTTGGATAATTTATTAAGGTAATTAATAAATACTTAGTGAATGTATGGCACTTCTTCACTAAAGTACTGCCCAGATGTGGCTGACCCCAACAGGCTGCCTTTGTTCTGAACTGGATTTGATTTTGGAGATTTATCAGTGGTGAGTAATTTTACTGAGAATTTTGAAGGGAGACAGAAGAGAGTTTTTCCTCAAAACCACACAAAATTACTTAATAAAAAATGCCAATTAGACATCTGTGCTCCACCCCCGAACTCTAAAAGTCCCCTATGAGGTACACAAGCGCTTCATTCCCCATTCCTAAATCTTCAGGGTCCCCTGTCTCTCTTCCTATCTTATGCTAATCCAATCAATTTCTTGGCAGGTGGAGGACAGGGCTGAGGGGTAGTAGTACTTGTATTATAAACAGTTTTTTCCCTGTCACAGAAGCAAGATGGAAAGGACTCTGAGGGCCAAATTTATTCTGGAAATTGTATGTATTGCTGTATACTTCAGTTTAGTAAACTGAGTAAGAGCCCAGGCTCCCGATTCAAATCCTAGCTCTGCCACTCACCAGTTGTAATACCTGGGCTCCATGCAGAATGTGCCCTCCTCAATACCCACCACCAGGCTAACCCATCCTCCC